CGCGCTTGCCGAACGGAGACCCCGGTGGCTATGCCAGTTATATACCCTGTGGTTGTGGAGACCCCGGTGGCTATGTCAGTTATATACCCTGTGGTTGTGGAGACCCCGGTGGCTATGCCAGTTATATACCCTGTGGTCGTGGAGACCCCGGTGGCTATGCCAGTTATATACCCTGTGGTTGTGGAAACCCCGGTGGCTATGTCAGTTATATACCCTGTGGTTGTGGAGACCCCGGTGGCTATGCCAGTTATATACCCTGTGGTTGTGGAAACCCCGGTGGCTATGCCAGTTATATACCCTGTGGTTGTGGAAACCCCGGTGGCTATGCCAGTTATATACCCCCTGTGGAGACCCCGGTGGTGCCAGTTATATACCCTGTGGTTGTGGAAACCCCGGTGGCTATGCCAGTTATATACCCTGTGGTTGTGAAAACCCCGGTGGCTATGCCAGTTATATACCCTGTGGTTGTGAAACCCCGGTGGCTATGCCAGTTATATACCCTGTGGTTGTCCATTCCGAGTCCACCTCTCCTATCATGCTCCTGTACAGTATCTTCCGTTACACTATGTATGTTCCATCAGTTATCTTGTTTCCAGGGATGGGTGAGCATGGATTTTAGCCGCCAATATTCAATCAAAAACGTATGCTATATTCCCCTTATTTGTCTCAGTGAGTATTTTGCCACAAATACTTTTTAAAGTAGAAAAACGGTGTGGATTAAACCGGAAGAAAAATAAAGAAAAATGATGAATAGTAGCCAGCTTGTTGTAATGTAAGATACATAATCATACGAGTTGCCAGTAATTCTGTTTTTATGCTTTTAGTATTTCCCAGCAATATCACGCCGGAGAACATGAGAAATATGCTTCACACGTTGTACCAATATGTGGAATCAACCCTGGTCTTCGGCGTAACAAGAGGTTTTAACCACTGTGCTAACCCACAGTCCCTACATCGTCGTGGTTGTGTACTTGACTGTTTCTGCCGTCGAGTGGGAGGGGCATACTTGTGTCTACATGCGATATACGTATCACACATGCAATAGTCAACATGGAAGCAGAGTACGACAAGCCCAACACTACGGATTTGTATTACTGAACGGCGAAGTGTCGGGTTAGATGCTAATAAATTAGCTTCATCAGCCCCAAAGCTTGTAATTTAACCTCTTATTGGGAAAAGGCATGACTGAGCCGTAAATATGACGACGGTCTGGGTTTGCATCTTGTTTATTTCCCCGACATGAGACAAACATTCTTGCCGGATTGTCGAAAGTGCCATGACGTCATCTGTCTCCAAGGAGACATGGCCTGCAGTAAGGCGCATCCTTGTAGGCAATACCTCTGAAACATGCCATCCTGACATTTCAGGCTAGTATGCCCGCTGGTGGCCGTTTCCGCAATGTGATCGGGCCGTATTATAGAAAGGTACACACAAAACATGTTTTTAATGAAACATGACTATGTGAATGTCGAATACCTCAGTAGAGATGGAGAACCATGGCTTGTTAGGTAGCAGTCCGTCAAAGCGGGTTTATAATGCATGCTCGGTATCCCGGTTTGGTCAAGCCTACACTGTTTGTGTCTCCGATAAATCGATCTTAGACGTTATACAAACATTAATATGGCAGTTTGCCTGAAATTACGTGAGAGGTGAAGCTAATGAGCAGTGAGGATACTTCAGTTCATGTAGTCGTTTCAGTTTTGTTTGTGGTGGCTTTTCCAACTGGGAGAATATTTGGTCTTGCAAGTTAAGGTGACCGGAAACCATCAACATACTTTCAAATAAGATATCCGGAAGAGCCAGTGACCGGAAGCAATCAAACACCGCCCCATACCATATCCGGAAGTGCCTGTGATCCGGAAAACACACGACCTATCCGATGAGATACCCGGAAGTGCTAGTAAACATCCCGATGTCTTGTAAGGATTGTGAGGAGTTTGTGGTTAGGGTTAGGGTTTCCAGAACGTATTCGAGGGAATCTGTTGGAGGGTTTCTTTGAAATTTGTTTGACAAATCTTTTCTAAATTGTGACGTCAGTAAAAGCGAATCACGGAACTCTAAAATCTTAATTGACCAACAGGTGTGAATATGCACACGAAGATGACCGTTTGAACGTATATTTTGTGTATGCTAGACTTCCACTGATGCTGACGACACACACATTTTCGCTTTCAAAGCCATCACATTTTGAACAGTGGCTCTTGTATGCTGTCTTCTCAATGAAATCTCTCAATAAACTATCACTACGCAGTACGACGTCGGCGACGTTGACGAAGGCAGTGCGACTGTCTCTCGTGGTCCCGAGAGTGTATGAGATTGACACATCACGTGACTCACTAAACAGACCTGTCTTCCCTCGTCGCCTTCAGGGATTCTATGCCTCGAGTCAATGAGGATAAGATCCATTTGTCTGCGAACGTAATTATTTAGGTTAACCCTTTGTGGACAGATCTTGTAATATTATGTATGAATGACAACAAGCTGGTATGTATTTATAAATTCTGGAACCTAGGTTGAGTACACATACATTTGATGAATGGTATTAGCTTACATTGATACTAATGTGTTGTTGAGTTTAACGCAAACTTATAATGAAATCATTTTAGCTCTTTTCACAGTTTCAGTGGTGAAAGTGTTTCTAATTTTGGTGGAACCCAGTAGCAACATGATCATGGCGGACTGGGATTCGAACCCACGACTATAGAATTGTGGCATGCCTAAATTACGCCGCTCTGCCAATATTTTTGGCTTGTTGGCCACCCGCGCCTCTCCTGAAAATGAGGTAAATATAACAGAATCTTGGCAAGTTTATCTGTAATTTAGTAACCTTGACAACCCCAAACTATTTCTTTCTCAACATTTTTGGATTTACCCTTGGTGGCGAAAAGATCAAGGTTATGTATGTTAACAAAAATACAACATCGTAGATCAGTAGATATGACTGGATCGATAACACTAAGGTATGAGCGTATGTATCAACCGTGTTGTACACGACATTGAGATACATTTTCTTCAACATTTAAAAATGATTTCAGATTAATTATTTTAGCTTCATGTCACGGCGACTAGTAATACTAAGTATTACCTTATCTGCACCTATGGTGGCACTTCGGAATGTTAGGATTTCATGTGACAGAGAACTGCTCCGTGGTGGAGTAGACAGACCGTCCCCATAGAGAACTGAAGGTCGAGGATTACATGGCTGCCTTGTGTTGCACCAAACCAGCATTCATCCAGTCAAAGCGCACGCACCCGCATACGCCCACACCAACACACTCACTCACCCACAACCCGTGAAGGTCCGGGTTAGAATGAGCCTTCAGTAACCCATGCTTGTCGTACGAGGCGACTAACGGGATCGGGTGGTCAGGTTCGCTGGCATGGTTCCCAATTGCGCAGATCGATGCTCATGCTGTTGATCACTGGATTGTCTGGTCCAGACTCGATTATTTACAGACCGCTACCATATAGCTGGAATGATGGAGTGCGGTGTAAAACCAAACTCACCCACTCACCCACACACTATGTATAATCCTAAATACATGTCGGTCCATACAAACACAGTGGCATAAAGATATTCAGCCATTCCTGATAACTATTCCGACTGCAAGATTTGCGTTTATCAAACATTTTTAGTATTGAATGGTAGTTGGCAGTTTTCAACACGCATAGACCGTTGACGATCGATTGAGGAGGATTTTCAACATACAGAAAATCATCAAGTATGTTGATACACACCATACTTAAATGTATTCAGGTTTTAATTAATTTATCAAATAATATCACACAATGGTAAAATAAATAATATATGTACATAAGTTCTGGGTAAAAGCATGAAGATCGTGCAATATGAGAATGATATTACACAATGGTTAAGGATTAACTGTGGATTCTTACAAGGGAACATTGTGTTATTGTCGCGCTTTGGTGAATTTTGACACGTTTTGATTGTTTACGTAAAAGGACAACGATGCCATAACGCGACAATGTCACTTCTAAGACTCCATAGTTACCTCAATTTAAGACGACAACAAAAAACAATAACGGACGTGTGAGGTGAGCTATAGCAGTCTTATTTGTTGTTTAACGCCGCACTCATCACTATACCAGCTGTATGGCCGTTGTCTGTAACAATCTGGACCAGTCAATCCAGTGATCAACATCATGAGCATCGATCTACGCAAACAGTTGACAGATAACGTTATCTACAGTACATCTCATTGGGGCTGGCATCAGTTTTAAGCCTTCGGTCTCCAGGGTTGTCACTCCTTTTCTGACACCACTCAGACATTTGTGGTTGAACTTTATCAAATATACTGACACTGGTGTCAAAGCTATAATACAATGAGTGACAATGGGATAGTGAGGCAAGAGCAATGCTTAACTAATGGCTGCTCTTTGCCATGGGAAGTCCACAGAAATAAGTCTTAATACTTGAATAACCAACTGTATTTGGCATGTGTGCTCAAGGCGAGTAATACAATTCGCTATCACAGATTCTTCATAGAATAGTAAGCAATGGAAACCATCATGTTTCACTACTACATTGTCCTATCCGCCTTACAGTAGACCACTATGATCACTTTGTTCTGAAACATGTCCAGTACTGACTCACACTGCTGTGGGTGTATTGCACATGGCCGTCTTGTACGCTGGTCCACTCGCCAACCTAACTGCTGATCCAATAATCCGCATATTTCGCGGTACACCATACTGAAGGTTTGTTTGACACGTGTGCTTGTCTGATTGTCGAAACTCTGCTAGAGCACTGGTCCACTAGTCGGATTATATGGTCCGCTTGTCAGCTGACCCATAGCAGATAATCCGCATACCTCCACGTGTAACTTCTTTGAGAGGCATTTTAGAAGTTGTATAGATGAAGGAAAACCAAGTTCTATGGATAGTCAACTTCTTTATTGCAATGAGTACGACGTTTCGGTGTAGGTACTAACACCGTTATCATAACTTGCTTGATAACGGTGTTAGTACGTAAACCGAAACGTCGCACCTATTGCAATAAAGAAGTTGACTATCCATAGAACTTGGTTTTTCTACCTCCACGTGTCTGGTATCCTGCTCACGATTCCACCAGTCAGTTGAACCACATTTCTGTTATTTTGTTTGTCCACAGTTTTACCCACTCGATTGCTGGAGCACATGTTGTTTACCTTTATGTCCACTCATCCTAAAGTTTGGCGCCACACTACAAGGTGTGAACATCGTACAGCGACCCCCCTAGGCCATCCCCAACAGACGACCCGCACGTTGGGCAGAACGGACCTACGTCAATGGAGTAGCAGTCATTAGCCAAACATTTAACTCGTTTGCTTGAGCTAAATATACTTGAACAGATAATCGAGACTGGTTATTCTCTGGCATTGACGTTTTACATTGGTAAAAAATTATTTTACACTATTCAAACAGAGTTAGAGGATTTAAGGAATTAACGACAGTTTCAAATAGAACCTGTTTCTACCTACCCGTCTGTGTGAACATGGCCGAGCCTCTTGATCCCCGGGACGCCAGTGACGTCATAGAGGGTGCTGACATCATCCCCATTGTCTCGAGCCCCTCCCTTTCCTCTGCTGTTGACCCTACCCAGGAGTTCCGGGGATCAGCTTTCACTAGGCGGGGTCTGTTTGGGGTTATGTTGTGGCTCTTCATGTAGTGGAGGAACTGGGCTGACAGCGAGGCGAGGGCTTCTTGCACCTGGAACACCAAGAGTTAGTTTGTGTCTGTGTACATGTTGTGATGCTGTGTTATTATGACGGGACACTAACTGGATAAGTTTACTGAGGTAAGGAAAGTAACGAGTATATACTCCTGGCCACACATTTGGACGTCGGTGTCACAAGCGAACGATGTAACCACTAAACCACTGACCCTTCCAGGCAAGACGCACAACCTAGTGTCTTTGCCAAACATTCTTAATGTAAAATATATATCTAGATTTTGATGAAGGGCTGTGTATTTGAAGCAGTAACAGTTAAATATTAAATGGAACAGTACTCTTCTTGAGAGTCAGCAATAGTTTGGCTACATCACTGAACATATCTGGACCAGACAAACCAGCGTGATTGATGGCATGAGTAACGCAGATGTCAAATGCTTGGGATGTTTTCTAAAACAAATACCAACTGGACACAAATAAACAAGAATCGGAGGAAATGTACGTTCTGAAACTGACTCGTGGACGTACTGACCACAGCGAGGCTTCCCCCGCTGACCAAGGCTTCCTTCTTCAGAGCTGTGAAGTGGACATTGGCTCGGGTTGCAGTCTTTTTGCTGTGGTCATCTGATAGCGGCCGGTTGTCCCTTGTACGGAACTGCTCCTGGAATCACAATCATATTTAGTTTAGCTTCACTTTGAAGAACACGTGGCAGATAGGAATACGCAATGCAATTAGAAAGTGATCAGATGTTACGTGTGATATATTTGGGAGTACACGTTCTCAGAGTACAAATTCTAGTAGTTCCCAAGTCTCGGTGACTCACTTCGTGTGTTGGCGATAAGGTTCTATTGTAAAAACGTTTAACAAACAACCTACTGACACTTACCATCAACGTGAAGTCAGCTGGGCCAACGCCTACGATGATAACTGACAAAGGGAGATCACTCGTGTCAATAAGGCGATGAATTGTGTCGTCGATATCGTTAATTACTCCATCCTAGGGCCAAGCAACATTGATATCAAATATGTCACAAGAATTATCATTTTGCAAAATATAATATTTTATTAATTTATTTTTGACAAGAAAACCATGCATGATTCGTGAAATATAACAGATACATATCACCAGCAAGTAAGGTCACATGTTGAATAAACAGAAATTATATAGTCTGGACATACACATATCTAATATACAGTATATTACACCTTACAAGGAGAACAGAGACTTACTGTAAGAATAAGCAGCACGTGATATATCTGGTTGTCCTGGGTGACAAGGACGTCACGGATGACGTCAGCAGCGGTTGCTATGACCGGTGCCACGCAGGTTGGCCCAGCAAAGGTGAGAGTTGGGAGGGCGTTTGTGTAGGCTTCTGTTACACCCTGGGGACAGTCGTCACAGATGTCACACAGATTCAGCAACAAGGAACGTATTTGTATCAATCAGTTCCTAGCCCTATCCATCACCATTAGTACACTTGGAAGTCCTCAATGTGACCTTACCTGGAAATGTTCTACAAGGAACGCCCAAGGCACTGTGGCTCACTAGTATGAGCAGTGAAATATAACAAGGGAATCTTCTTGTCAATGCAGTCTGGCCTGACTGAGAACTGCATGATCTACATGTACTATTCTCCATACTTCAAACCTTACGTTAACAAACAATAACGTAGACAGGCAAACCGTACTGTTCAGTCGGTTCAGAGATTGTTGAAAAATGCATTTCCTTCAATAATCAGCTGATGGTGTTCAGGTTACATCGTGTTAGTACAGATATTGTTTACTTCAAATCGTTTTCACTGGAGATGTTATTTAGTGCAGATAACGTTTGGAAGAGATATCAAGTACTATATAAACCAGATGTTTGCTTACAGAGTATTAGTGAAGATTTACTTCAAATGGCGTTTTCAGTGGAGATGTTATTTAGTGCAGATAACGTTTAGTGGGAAGAGATATGGAGATGAAGTACAGTGGAGATGGTGTTTAGTATATGGTGTTTAGTGGAGACCATGATGATGGTGTTTAGTGGAGATGGTGTTTAGTGGAGAGGTGTTTAGTGGTGATGGTGTTTAGTGATGGTGATTGGAAGTGTTTAGTGGTGATGGTGTTTAGTGGAGATGGTGTTTAGTGGAGATGGTGTTTAGTGGTGATGGTGTTGTTTAGTGGAGATGATGTTTAGTTTAGATGGTGTTTAGTGGAGATGGTGTTTATACAGATGAATGATGGTGTTTAGTGGAGATGGTGTTTAGTGGAGATGGTGTTTAGTGGAGATGGTGTTTTAGTGGTGATGGTGTTTAGTGGAGATGAGATGTTTAGTGGAGATGGTGAGTGAGATGGTTTAGTGGAGATGGTGTTTAGTGGTGATTGTTTAGTGGTGATAGTGGAGATGGTGTTTAGTGGTGTTTAGTGATGGTGTTTAGTGGTGATGAGATGTGTTAGTTTTGGAAGTGGAGATGGTGTTTAGTGGAGATGTGTTTGTTTAGTGGAGATGGTGTTGAGTGGTGATGGTGTTTAGTGGAGATGGTGTTTAGTGGAGATGGTGTTTAGTGGAGATGATGTTTAGTGGAGATGGTGTTTTAGATGGTGATGGTGTTTAGTGGAGATGGTGTTTAGTGAAGATGGGTGTTTAGTGGAGATGGTGTTTAGTGGAGATGATGTTTAGTGGAGATGGTGTGGAGAAGTGGTGATGGTGTTTAGTGGTGATGGTGGTGGTGTTTAGTGGAGATGGTGTGTGGAGATTAGTGGTGATGGTGTGGAGATGGTGTTTAGTGGAGATGGTGTTTAGTGGAGATGGGTTTAGATGGTGTTTAGTGAGATGGTGATGGTGATGGTGTTTAGTGGAGATGGTGTTTAGTGTGATGGTGTTTAGTGGTGATGGTGTTTAGTGGAGATGGTGTTTAGTGGAGATGTGTTTAGTGGTGTTTAGTGGAGATGGTGTTTAGTGGAGATGGTGTTTAGTGGAGATGATGGTGTTTAGTGGAGATGGTGTTTAGTGGTTTAGTGGATGGTGTTTAGTGGAGATGGTGTTTAGTGGAGATGGTGAGTGGTGATGGTGTTTAGTGGAGATGGTGTTTAGTGGAGATGGTGTTTAGTGTAGATGTGCGAAGTTTAGTGGTGATGGTGTTTAGTGGAGATGGTGTTTAGAGTAGATGGTGTTTAGTGGAGATGGTGTTTAGTGGAGATGAAGTACACAGAATGTGATGGTGTTTAGTGGAGATGGTGTTTAGTGGAGATGGTGTTTAGTGGAGATGGTGTTTAGTGGAGATGGATGGTGTTTAGTGGAGATGGTGTTTAGTGGAGATGGTGTTTTTGGAGAGTGTTTAGGATGGTGTTTATGGAGATGGTGTTTAGTGGATGATGGATGTTTGAGTGTTTAGTGAGATGGTGTTTCGTGAAGATTGTGAGTAGGTGGTTTAGTGGAGATGATGTTTAGTGGAGATGAATGAATGTGATGGTGTTTAGTGGAGATGGTGTTTAGTGTAGATGGTGTTTAGTGGTGATGGTGTTTAGTGGAGATGGTGTTTAGTGTAGATGGTGTTTCGTGAAGATTGTGTTTAGAGTAGATTGTGTTTAGTGGAGATGATGTTTAGTGGAGATGAAGTACACAGAATGTGATGGTGTTTAGTGGAGATGGTGTTTAGTGGAGATGGTGTTTAGTGGAGATGGCGTTTAGTGGTGATGGTGTTTAGTGGAGATGGTGTTTAGTGGAGATGGTGTTTAGTGGAGATGGTGTTTAGTGGAGTTGATGTTTAGTGGAGATGGTGTTTAGTGGAGATGATGTTTAGTGGTGATGGTGTTTAGTGGAGATGGTGTTTAGTGAGATGGTGTTTCGTGTTTATGATTGATTAGTGTTTAGTGGAGTGATGGTGTTTAGTGGTGATGGTGTTTAGTGGAGATGGTGTTTAGTGGAGATGGTGTTTAGTGGTGATGGTGTTTAGTGGAGATGGTGTTTAGTGGAGATGGTGTTTAGTGGAGATGGTGTTTAGTGGAGATGGTGTTTAGTGGAGATGGTGTTTAGTGGTGATGGTGTTTAGTGGAGATGGTGTTTAGTGTAGATGAAGATGTGTTTAGTGGAGATGATGTTTAGTGGAGATTTACACAGAATGTGATGGTGTTTAGTGGAGATGGGAGATGGTGTTTAGTGGAGATGGTGTTTAGTGGAGATGGCGTTTAGTGGTGATGGTGTTTAGTGGAGATGGTGTTTAGTGGAGATGATGTTTGGTTTAGTTTATGGATAGTGGAGATGGTGTTAATGGTGTGGTGTTTAGTGGAGATGGTGTTTAGTGGAGATTGTGTTTAGAGTAGATTGTGTTTAGTGGAGATGATGTTTAGTGGAGATGAAGTACACAGAATGTGATGGTGTTTAGTGGTGATGGTGTTTAGTGGAGGTTGTGTTTAGTGGAGGTTGTGTTTAGTGGAGATGATGTTTAGTTCAAGTGGTATTTAATGAAGATGGTGTTTAGTTTGACACGTGTAGTAGGTGATGAAGGTAATGAGTGACGATATGTTTAGTTCAAATTTTGTTCATTGTTCAGATGGTGATCAACGGAAATAAAGTGTAGTACAGGTTGTAGTTAGATCAAATGATCACCTTTGTGCTGACGTTTTTTCTCATCGAAGATGACTTTTAGTTTGGGTGTTCAGATCAGTGACTATGTCTATGAAACAAACGTTACCATGTACAATTCGGATTCTTTTTTATCTTTGAAAAATATGTTTTTTTCGGATGTCACTTTCAGTTCATTTCAAAAGTGTGCATGCATTACATTAGCATGATGCAGATTTGTTTGAACCGGGAAGAAAGTTAAAAATAGGCGATTGTGACAATCAGCCATACTGACCTTGACCCCGTTGACCCAGATATTGGATTCGTTGTCTCTGAGCGGGAAACAGTGAAGCGGATTGTCGTCTGATGTTCTCTTGGCGCCAAATCCAAACACTGCTATCTTCTGTTCCACATCGTAGCGGGATATGCTGGCTCCCAGTGTCTGTATCGTCGCCAAGTACTGGTTCTGATGGTATAACCATTGGAAGTGAATTCTTGTTAGCTCATCGCTTAGTCCACTTAATGAGCATGACGGCTGCTTTGGGGCACATCAGCTATTCGAAAAACTATTCTTGGATATCACCTGGATTGGTGTCCCGGTATGTATATCAGCGTTATGTTCATGTTTTTACTATCGACAACTGTGTGACGAGCATGTGGTCAACCAGGTATGTGTCGATATCGACGAAGATATCTTCGACACAAGCGTATTCTCTTTTCAGCAAAATATAACCTATACATACGCCTGATATAAGGAATGCGCTTTCGTGCGTGCACGTGTGTGTATGGGTATGTGTATTTTAGTAATAGATCACATTATGACGCTGACACACTGATATAACTGAAATATTGTACAAAGCGGCGCTATAACAGCTTCATTCACTCAGTGTCATACAAATCGAGGTAGCATGTTACACGGAATCAGTTCGAGTTCTTGCGCCTCCCATCCCTTACCTTAGCATCCTTGCTGTTATGTAGAGATAGTTCGTCCGACAGTGTGCCATTAGAAGCCTGCAAGTGCACGGAATGATGCAATAACAAGACAGGAAATTCCTTTTATTTGCCTACGAATTGATATTACATCTCAGCTATATTTGAGTGGTTTGAAATAATGGCAGTGATGACGCATTATTGGATGTGAGTGAATGTAAGTAACAATTGCAACAATGTCTATCACCGTCAAATTGCTGCCGTATCCTCACTCACTCACTCACTCACAACGTCACTTAAATAAAGGCCTTTGACAAACTCCTGTTCGACCTCTGGTACCGGTGAGGTCTATATTCTGTTACTAAGGATATTAATAGTTCAGCAGTTTTTTCTCAATTAAAACAATTACGTAAAATTGATCATCCGACAGATTGATGACACTTACGGTGAAGTCGATGGCAATAATGAGTCTCAGCTGACATCCACCTCGCACGAAGTCCATCAGCGAGTACTGCTTGTCAACACTGAACAGAGAGACACAAATGTATGTCATAGAGTTCTCCATGTACCCGTAACGAGAGACATTCATGTGTCGTACAGTTCTACAGGTACCCGTAACAAGAGACATCCATGTGTCATACAGTTATATAGGTATCGTAGCAAGGGACATCCATGTGTCACACAGTTATACAGGTACCGTAACAAGAGACATCCATGTGCTATACAGATCTACAGGTACCGTAACAAGGTACATCCATGTGTAATACAGTTCTACAGGTATCGTAGCAAGGGACATCCATGTGTCATACAGTTATACAGGTATCGTAGCAAGGGACATCCATTTGTCATACAGTTATACAGGTACCTGTAACAAGAGACATCCATGTGTCATACAGATCTACAGGTACCGTAACAAGGTACATCCATGTGTAATACAGTTCTACAGGTATCGTAGCAAGGGACATCCATGTGTCATACAGTTATACAGGTATCGTAACAAGAGACATCCATGTGTCATACAGTTATACAGGTATCGTAACAAGAGACATCCATGCGTCATACCAGTTCTACAGGTACCTGTAACAAGAGACATCTAAATGTCACACAGTATTAACTCAATGCACTGTCCCAATAGCCTCCAGTAACAGTACACTAGCTTGTAGTAGTAATGTGGACTGATCTACACGTGACTGGAGGGGTTCACTTTTCTGTCGGTACTTTGGTGTGCCACACGCCTTTTGTTGCATGACCAGATGTTGTGGATCAGATGGCGCTATGCTTACGGCTTCCTTCAAGCCACATGGCCGCCCAACCAACCAGCTTCCTTTCCAAATACTCTAAGCGCTGTAAGATCCACACGTCTGTACTAATGTAGAGTCTAATACATGACATATGTATTCCGCAGACGTAAGAAAACCTCCACTTTAGTGATGACCCTGCAAGCTATGGTCATGCTGTTTCTTATAGACAAGACACCTACAAGTAACATTTTTTGTCATAGTATCAAAAAACTACACAAGATTATTATTCCTTGTGATGTCTTTTCACCTACCGGAACTGGTAAAATCTAACGCTGCCGGAAGTGACATCCTTCTTTTTCTTCTTCTCCTTCTTTGGGCAGATCAGATGGAAGCTCTTGTAATTGTTGACTCTGGGAACGACCCAAGAAACATGTAAATGGAATATTACAAGAATGAAACACCAATGTAACACAGCTTCGTCGACGCATGCACGCACGCACGCACGCACGCACGCACGCACGCACGCACGCACAGACACCTTTCTCTCCACCCTAAAACTAAATGGGAACAAGAGTGTGTCAGGCTTCAGGTCATTTGCTCTGTAGGATTTGTTTCTTTCGTACTGTAGAGTTGGACTACTGTATATTGGGTTAATTACAACGCGAACTTTGTATGCAGACATTGTTATTGTATACGCACCATGACGACGTAGTGCTCATACTGTCGCCCACTGGTTTGTGATCACACAGCGGTTACGACGTCAACATTAAATTTTGCAGTTAACAAATCATTCTACAAACCGATCTTACCTTTTCGCGTTGAGAAGCTTTCTGGCTGTGGTAACAAATTCCCCTATTTTGTCGTACGCAGACTTGAACCCAGCCCTGGAGCAGAGAGGTGAGTTACGTGAAACAAATGTCATATTACCAAATATTCATACAGTAGTGTTTTAAACAAGGGCCATTAACGTGTATATTTATAAACACATGCTCAGTGATACTGGGGACACATCTGTGGACACCCACACCATCAGCACAGGCCCTGACCTAACAGGGAAAGCTCCTGAAATTAGATCAAGGTAAAAAAACAACAACCCAGTTTATTCCGAAGAACAGACAACATATGTCGGTTGGTATGGTTTTCATTAAATGATGTAACCATAATCTATTATTATACATCTTAGTACAGGTATACATAAGCTTCATGTTTACAGTTTGACCAGCATATGGACTAAAATCGTAGAGGTCTCTACAAGTCTTAATGAGTATCTTTACAAACACCTTGTACATACCCATAGCTCGTATGCCAGCAGGAGAACTGTATTGGGCGGTCAAGGTCGTCGTTGCAGAGCCGTTGCATGCTCACGTCGAACGGACGCCAGCTGTGATTTAACGATGAAACAAATCTTCAATGTTAAAGACAAGGCTGAAACTGATATCATCTCATGAACATGAGAGTTTTTGTTAAGAGTATGTCAGCATCAGTAAAGACTGTCCCTTCATGTACCACAAATACTAGCATCGTTTTAGAGCACCAAACCGGGAGTCACCTTATGGTACTAATACCTAGCAGGTACCAATACCCAGTACCCACGCAGGATAATATTCTGAACACAGACGCTGCACGGAATACATATACGCTGCAATCAATCAGTGCTGACGAGGCTAATTTACGAGTGCACGAGTTCTAACTGTTAGATTCTCTGAACATCCGGGTAACAAGAGGTCTTCCGCAGCCCATGCCAGTCATATGAAGTGGATCGGTTGGTCACGTTCGCTTCCTTGATTGATGCAACTCGTTGTATCATAGTTGCGAAAATCGATGTTCATAATGTCAATCGGTGGATTATCTGATCAAGTGGATTATTTAGAGACCACTGTCATATAGCTTGAATATTGCAGTGAGGTGCGTTAAACAAGAAACAGTCTATGTAAAACGGGTTTCCAGACAGATTCCCACCATATACACTGCAGCTTTCCCTCATGGGCTCAATCTCAGGTGTGGGTGGGTGAGTGAGTGAGAGAGAGTGAGTGATAATATCAAAGGTATGCATCATACATTATATCAATGATGGAATTAGAATTCTCGAGTTTTAGTAGACCACTCACTACGCCAGCTGCACGGATGTTCATGTGCTTATGAACAAAAGGAACGCGGGTGTTCTAAAGCAAGCCAGGATCCGCTGATTGTGGGTTCGATCCCTGGTTTGCCAGTATCATACTCGTGTTTCAGTTATACTAGAAGAAACATGGGACTTATGAGCTGACACGCAGCGATATGGTAGAAGTTGATCTTTCACCACACTCACTCATCCACTCACTCACACAAGCACTCACTCCATGACTCGCGAACACGTCAGTATACCTGGGGTTCCTTGTCTTATGCTGCACCTCTGTCCTAAACACAGGATGGTAGGTCACGCTGTTGATCTGTCGGCCGATCTCAAGATACGTGTCTGGCTGTTGAAACCAGAGAACATTAAAACCTCACTGAAAGTTTATAAGTAACCCAAAAATCCACAATTCTAAACTTTCTCATGATAATTACATGACACAGTGTCAAGTAATAAATGCTCCTGTAATATATTTGTTCCGATCAAGTTACGCACTGCACGTACTTATCACGTTACATCGATAAATATACAGCAGGTTACAGAATTTCCATTTATTTCACTATTCCAAGGCCAAATAATGGCAAGACAAGCCCGTGTGTGTCCGTCTCACCTTGCGGTTATTGAGAAAGCCAACCTTCCCCAGTTTGTGGCCTGCTACATGGAACTGGGCCTTGCTCCGTGTTTCTCGCACAATCTCGGCGGTCAGGTTAATAAAGCCGCGAGACTTCGGATCACCTGGGATCAGTAACAGCAAGCGAATGTAGCAATAAACAGTTTAATAAAAGAATGAATAGAATAACTCCAGCATTGTGTTGCAGTCAATGGTATCGCGGGGTATTGATTACTCAGGAGGACTCCAATATAAAATATTTAGGTAAATAGAGTATTCTCCCTTTACTACACTTCTCCAGTCAGAAAAGGTGTTGTTTTTGCAATTTAAGAAAACTATACAATATTCATTTTAAGAAGGTAGTTTTAAAAGCAGTTCGTTCAAGTAATTCAAAGCTGTAGTCATGGCAACGCGCACCTGCTACTCGAAGAATCCTGGAAGTGGTGGTCCAAGGTTTGGTGACGTCAACCAGGGAGTCCAGTGTCACCTCCACGCACCCAACAAAGTCGTGATGGCGCAAGTCCGATGATCTGCGGCCACATAAAACACAATCGCCGTGTTCACGAGAAACATTAAGTAACGTGGTGGTGTCGATTAACATTAGTAGCTGACGTTGTCACACAAGTGGAGAGGTTACTGTTTTGACGAAAGATACACTAACATAAACACATCAATGCTGGTGCGTTGTGCTTATTATTTTCTAAAACCCAAAGTCTCTCTCATGACTATATACAGAGTTGTAACAAATGACAGTATTATTACTCATTCTGAAATTACTAATCTTCTTATTGGCCAACCATCTTGCAAACCCAACTGAATTCCTCGGAAAGTACAGCCATTATAGCGACATGTAGTTTGAATTAATTTTGCACGTCGCTTTTGACTTTGAAAAACGTGTAAATATAAGTCCCATGATGAATATAAACATAGAGGAAGAATGCAGGTTTGCTATTTACATTAATCTTCATTAGTGAGTGAGTGAGTTTAATTTTTTACGCCGCACTCAGCAATATTCCAGCTATATGGCGGCGGTCTGTAAATAATCGAGTCTGGACCAGACAATTCAGTGATCAACAGCATGAGCATCAATCTACGCAAGTGGGAACCGATGACATGTGACAACCAAGCCAGCGAGCCTGACCACAGGGTCCCGTTAGTCGCCTCTTACGACAAGCACGGGTTACTGAAGGTTCATTCTAGCCCGGACCTTCACGGGTCTTAATCTTCATGAGTGTACATGTGCCTTTGTATAATACCTGTAAATACAACGCACACATGAAGTTCGACTCATTACCTCGGAATGATATAGTCGATAAAATACCATTGTCCATCTGTCCTTGACCACACAGCTCACAACGCTGCGGACCAATGCACGAGGGAGTACGTCCAATGGTCAGGCACTCACCTGCTGTCGATGTCGTATACTGAGAACATGAGTTGTTGCTGCACGTCAGGCTGTACGTCCACGATGAAGACCTGTGTGAACTGGGCAGAAACAGCAAGCGTCAGTACAAGTCACAGTAGTATATCAAATACTTTGGCTTTAAAACGCCAAGGGTATCCCACTATTCTATACGCCAATATTGTATTACTAAGATATATATGCTACCTAAAAGTCGATTTAAATCATTGATGTATGTACATCGGATACACTGGGATTCTGCCTTCCCCACCAACCCCAAGGTCTTCATTACCTCCTGTCCACCTGTCTGTCTCTCCGGTTAAACGCTCCCTTCCCCGTCAACCTCAACATCCTTACCTCAATGTCATGTGAACCTCCTTCCCCAGAGAGAGAGAGAGAGAGAGAGAGAGAGAGAGAGAGAGAGAGAGAGAGAGGAGAGAGAGAGAGAGAGAGAGAGTGTGAGAGTGTGTGAGGAGAGAGAGAGAGAGAGAGAGAGAGAGAGAGAGAAAGAGAGTGTGAGAGAGAGTGAGAGAGAGAGAGAGAGAGAGAGTGAGAGTGTGAGAGAGAGAGAGAGAGAGTGAGAGAGAGAGAGAGAGTGAGGTGTCTCCCTGTGGTATGTGAGAGAAGAGTGAGAGAGACCACTAAATGTGGTATGTGGTCACTACTAAACCATTAGAGTGGACAATAATGAGTGTTTCTCCTTTATATAGCCCCCAATCCCTATTCAGCCACGTCACACACACACACACCTATCCAGCCCCTCATCCCACACACCCTACACAGCCACACAATAGGAAAACACACACACACACACACACACACACACACACACACACACCCGTGATAGGACGCCATCTCTCTTCTCACTCTGTCTTGTGGAGAGTGTCACTCTGACCCATGTTGTTATGTGGCTTGTTATTATATGAAGGTGATTAATGTTCATATGCAGAGTCTGTCATTAGTTACAGAAGAAAATTACTTTTACTGTCAGTTTTTGTGAAATTTGGGTTTATCTGTCAATTTTTATAAAATTGACATTTTACGTTTTTGGAGTGGTGGTAAATTACGCAAGCAGTAACACATTTCATCCTATTATATGTTTGATTATAACCGTCTAACAGACCTTTTTGGCAGAACCTAGTTCTGAACTATGTCAGTAGAGTGAACAGGGAAATGTGTCGAAACATTTTTTCTGGAGTGAAATACGGCATCTTGTTTATATAAAATCTTTCATGTGCACACTAAGCCAGGTATTTTGTATTCCATATAGGGTGTTTCAGAGGACTCGCTGACTGAGCAATTCTATATGAGATCCTGTACAGGACTTGGGTACAATGTATAGATGTCGAATGCTGCTGAGACAGAAGTCAGATTTATGTTGGTTTCTCTGTCAAGCATTGTGTCCTTAACAATTACATCATGTTAATTAATCTAAACCTTCCGTATGCACAATGTTAAAACTAGTTTGTTTCCATATGGACTGATGTTCTTAAACCGGTGAATGCCCTTGCACTGTGTATTTTCAGATATTCACAATTGGGTAACTATAGGTGAATATCAAAACAGAACTTTTGTATTGACCAATATTTGATGAATATGAGGTCAGCTGGTGCAAGTCTCAGCAAGGCCGTATTAAGGATTTGAGCGTTGTTCATGTGCCGCTTCACGTGACGGAGCGGCGATGTATTGTCGGTTATGTGAGTCAGGTTTTACGCCGCTTTTAGCAATATTCCAGTAATATCACGGTGGGGGCCACCCAAAATGGGCTTCACACATTGTACCCATGTGTGAAATCTAACCTGGGTGTTCAGCGTGACGAGCGGACGCTTCATCCACTAGGCTACCCCACCGCCCTTGTCGGTTATGTACGAACTGTGTGTGATAATAATGCTGTTGAATAATTTCTTCATCTGTTTGTGCCAGAAACTTCAAAACTTTGTACATCGGTAGATATTATATTGTTACTACACTGACATGCACAAATGCATTGGCAACTCTGTATGCGTAATGCATGTTTTATTACCACTCTACCTCCAAATGTCTCCAACTGCATTATACTTCTGGACCAAAGGTCCCGTGCGACATACGACTATCGATATCCTTCCTCTACCTCAACACAGTCTCCAATGGCCCAGCTAAATGTAGGATTACTTCAACCAATGCTGGAAACACATGGCCTATTTCAGCTCTTGACAGTCACAAAGACCAACACAAGCATAAGCCACTTCTTTGGGTTGAAATGTCGTACCTTGTCGATGAGAGACGCCCTCATAACGCACTTTGGGGTTTAGGGACTCTCTGATAGCGTACCTTGTCGATGAGAGACGCCCTCATAACGCACCTTGGCGTTTAGGGACGCTCTGATAACGTAGGTAGGGGTTGAAAGACGCCCTTATAACGCACCTTGGGGTTTAGGGACGCTCTGATCGTAGGATGAGAAGCGTAACGCACCTTGGGGTTTAGGGACCCTCTGATAGCGTCCCTTGTCGATGAGAGACGCCCTCATAACGCACCTTGGAATTTAGGGACGCTCTGATAACGTCGGTAGGGGTTGAGAGACGCCCTCATAACGCACCTTGGGGTTTAGGGACCCTCTGATAGCGTCCCTTGTCGATGAGAGACGCCCTCATTTAGGGACGCTCACCTTGGTACCTTGGGGTTTAGGGACGCTCTGATAACGTAGGTAGGGGTTGAGAGACGCCCTCATAACGCACCTTGGGGTTTAGGGACCCTCTGATAGCGTCCCTTGTCGTTGAGAGACGCCCTCATAACGCACCTTGGGGTTTAGGGACCCTCTGATAGCGTACCTTGTCGTTGAGAGACGCCCTCATAACGCACCTTGGGGTTTAGGGACGCTCTGATAACGTAGGTATGGGTTGAGAGACGCCCTCATAACGCACCTTGGGGTTTAGGGGATAGCGTCCCTCTGAGAGACGATAACGCACCGTTTACGGACCTGATAGCGTCTTGTCGATGAGAGACGCCCTCATAACGCACCCACCCTTGGGGTTTAGGGACTCTCTGATAGCGTACCTTGTCGATGAGAGACGCCCTCATAACGCACCTTGGGGTTTAGGGACCCTCTGATAGCGTACGCTTGTCGATGAGAGACGCCCTCATAACGCACCTTGGGGTTTACGGCCCTTGTCATAACGCACCTTGGGGTTTAGGGGTTTAGGGACCTTGGGTTTAGGGACCCTCTGATAGCGTACCTTGTCGATGAGAGACGCCCTCATAACGTACCTTGGGGTTTAGGGACCCTCTGATAGCGTACCTTGTCGATGAGAGACGCCCTCATAACGCACCTTGGGGTTTACGGACCCTCTGATAGCGTACCTTGTCGATGAGAGACGCCCTCATAACGCACCTTGGGGTTTAGGGACCCTCTGATAGCGTACCTTGTCGATGAGAGACGCCCTCATAACGCACCTTGGGGTTTAGGGACCCTCTGATAGCGTACCTTGTCGATGAGAGACGCCCTCATAACGCACCTTGGGGTTTAGGGACCCTCTGATAGCGTCCCTTGTCGATGAGAGACGCCCTCATAACGCACCTTGGGGTTTTGGGGATAGCGTACCTTGTCGATGAGAGACGCCCTCATAACGCACCTTGGGGTTTACGGACCCTCTGATGGCGTAGGTTGTCGATGAAGACGCCCTCATAACGACCTTGGGGTTTACGGACCCTCTGATAGCGTACCTTGGGGTTTAGGGACCCTCTGATAACGTAGGTAGGGGTTGAGAGACGCCCTCATAACGTACCTTGGGGTTTAGGGACCCTCTGATAACGTACCTTGTCGATGAGACGCCCTCATAACGCACCTTGGGTTTACGGACCCTCTGATAGCGTACCTTGTCGATGAGAGACGCCCTCATAACGTACCTTGGGGGTTTACGGACCCTCTGATAAGCGTACCTTGTCGTTGAGAGACGCCCTCATAACGTACCTTGGGGTTTGAGGACCCTCTGATGGCGTACCTTAGGGTTGAGACGCCCTCATAACGCACCTTGGGGTTTACGGACCTTTGATAGCGTACCTTGTCGATGAGAGACGCTCTCATAACGTATCTTGGGGTTTACGGACTCTCTGATAGCGTACTTTTGGGGTAGAGATACGCCCTCTACGGACCCTCTAACGTAGCTTGGGTTGAGAGACCCTCATAAAGTACCTTTGGTTTGAGAGACTCTCTCATGACGTATCTTGGGGTTGAAAGACTCTCTCATAACGTACCTTGGGGTTGAGAGATTCCCTGATTGCCTCTGTCCGTCCATGTTCCTTCCACTGGCCGAAGAGCTTGACAAACAGGACACACATAGGGTCAGTCTTTGTAAACACGTCCAGATCGGCCAGGTCCTGGCAGGACACGAGTATCTCCACCCGTCCACCAGGGGGCGCTGACATGGCTTGGAGGTAGAGACATTACATGATTAGATTTTAATACATTAAATACAGATATTTCTCTGGAAGTGGTATAGCGATACTAACCAATAATGCTTCAATCACAATTACTGTCACCTGGTGTATATCTGCCTTATCACACGTATCAATACTATATGTGGTTCAGGAATACACCTGTACCGGTGATTGTATTCTACACCCAGGTTTATACAGACTACTGCTTCTTTATAATTTATATATTTGTCAATAGAAATAAATACATCCTTAGGTTAGTTGAACGTAACGTAGTCCAAGATATATCTCTATAATATATTTTGAAGTTCAAATGTTCTATAATCTCTAATCAGTACTCTACCTTGGGTTTGACAAAGAAATACTCGATTCTGATTGGTCAATCAAAAGTTATTATATAACAAAAATACCATCCTCCCGAGGCACACGTGTGCAAGATGCTATGTCGTACCCCTACTGAGTAGATCAACCTTCAAATTAAAATTGATTGTCGCATCAACGTTCTGCCATCTACTTTGGTTTGTTTGTTGTTTAGTTATTTGTTGTCAAACGCCACATTCAGGTATTGTCCAGAGATCAGAGAAAATGGAACAGAGAATCCCGTGATTGACGTCATGAGCATCGACCTGTGTACTTGGAATACCGCGACATGCATCAACAACGACCCTGACCACAAAATGTCACTAACAACAAGCATGGGTTGCTGGGTCTAATTCCGATCTTTACTTGTATCTTCAGACCGCCTTGATATAACAACAACCTCCAACAACTAGTTTGTCTCACGGTCCCTGAACCACATTATTTTCCCTACTGCCTAGCCCTCTCTGCAGTGCTAAAGCCCTAAATAAAGCAAGTCTAGATTTCCTCAGGTTCGGGTTCTGAATCTCTGGTCTCCCTGGGGCTCCTTTTCAGTTTAAATGTTTGTTACTATCAAAATTATATTTATTTCAGAGACTAAGCATTAGTCTATCCAACAACATGCTAGTTCATCTGTTTTGAAGACGTATACCCTTGCAAATACATTTGATAAAAAATACTGCAAATTTGAAATTCAAAACACAAATACAATATCGTACCAAAGCATATCCGAAATGATTTAATTTGTTAGCCACCACTACCAAGCATTGGTGAACACTTACTTTTGACCAGCAGTGTATTATGTTGGTTACATATCTAGGGGGGAACATGAGTGTATACCTGGCTGCTTTGACCAAGGACTTGCTAGGGCGTAACCCAAGTAGGGAAATAAATTATTACACGTACTCATATTGATGTTTATGCTCATATGGTCCTGAGAGTGATCTACCTGTATGTACACAGGTAGATTGACATAAGTAATGGTTTGACATTCTTTAGGGGGGTAATAACACCAATTGAATGCCACGTGTAACCTTGACCTCTACATGCCCATATAGTGCTGAAGTAGAATACGATCTACACCCATAGTGCTGAAAACGTAAATTTATGTCAGGTTCGGTCGGAATGTGTGTAAATGATGCCAGTGTAGCAAGCGCTCTATGTGAGCAGAGCCAAGAACAGGTATATTGTAGTCCATGGGTTATTGTGTTACTACAGGTATATTGTAGTCCATGGGTTATTGTGTTACTACAGGTATATTGTAGTCTGGGTTATTGTGTTACTACAGGTATATTGTAGTCTATAGGTTATTGTGTTACTACAGGTATATTGTAGTCTCATGGGTTATTGTGTTACTACAGGTATATTGTAGTCCATGGGTTATTGTGTTACTACAGGTATCACTATATATTGTAGTCCTATAGGTTATTTTGTTACTACAGGTATATTGTAGTCCATGGGATATTGTGTTACCTACAGGATATATTGTAGTCCATGAGATATTGTGTTACCACAGATATATTGTAGTCCATGGGATATTGTGTTACCACCGATATATTGTAGTCCATGGATTATTGTGTTACCACAGATATATTGTAGTCTATGAGATATTGTGTTACCACAAATATATTGTAGTCTATGAGATATTGTGTTACCACAGGTATATTGTAGTCCATGGGATATTGTGTTACTACAGGTATATTGTAGTCCATGAGATATTGTGTTACCACAGATATATTGTAGTCCATGGATATTGTGTTACTACAAATATATTGTAGTCCATGTGTTATTGTGTTACTACAGGTATATTGCAGTCCATGAGTATATTGTGTTTTCTACAGGTATATTGTAGTCTATAGGTTACTGTGTTACTACAGGTATATTGTAGTCTGTGGGTTATTGTGTTGCTACAGGTATATTGTAGTCTATGGGTTATTGTGTTACTACAGGTATATTGTAGTCCATGGGTTATTGTGTTACTACAGGTATATTGTAGTCCATGGGTTATTGTGTTACTACAGGTATATTGTAGTCCATGGGTTATTGTGTTACTACAGGTATATTGTAGTACAGGTATATTATAGGTTATTGTGTTACTACAGGTATATTGTAGTCCATGGGTTATTGTGTTACTACAGGTATATTGTAGTCCATGGGTTATTGTGTTACTACAGGTATATTGTAGTCATGGGTTATTGTGTTACTACAGGTATATTGTAGTCCATGGGTTATTGTGTTACTACAGGTATATTGTAGTCCATGGGTTATTGTGTTACTACAGGTATATTGTAGTCTGTGGGTTACTGTGTTACTACAGGGCTGTAGGGGCCTTCACGAGTTCCGTGAAGCGAGATTGGCGACTGTACTTTAATGTAGTACAATCCACACTCCCAGGTCACATGGCACGAGTTTAGCGTTACGACTACCCGGGTTACACAAATATTTGGGTGATACATTTGTGTGTGATAATTAGATCTATCCTCTGACAGCCACCCTTTGACTTTTATTTCGGGAACTCCACGCTAGTACAGGATCACTGATGACTCAAAAGCAATAGTAAGACGCCCGTACAGGCCGGATTACCCACGGGTTTGACGTAAACAAGAGAGCCACTTGACAAAAGTAATACTAAAATATATTACCAGAGTAAAGTGTGCTTTGTATAACGTCTACACTTTGTGATCATTACAGTGTGTGTGAGCAAGGAAGCAGCTGTGAGTTTCAGGTTATCGCTGTCAAATAGACTCATCTATAGGGAGGAAGCGTGTATGCCTGTCATGGCCTATCAACGGCTGAAAACACCATTAACTCGGCCACTCTCATCATGGAACTAAATAAACAGACAAAGTGGATTTTGAACTGATTCACATGTGTTTGAACATGAACTAGCCTGAGTCTGTGTTTGTCTAACAGATGATGGTTTCCAAGGTGCAACCAATATAAAGCATTATGTGTAGTTTGTGATAAATGTGGTGTTCGTCGCCTCACTATATAATTACAAGTTACATTAGGTCTAGAAAACATTACGTCATTTCTCATAATTAACCAATTACCATGTGCATTCGACAGTCAGTGATGTAATTATATCCTTCTGCAGATAGATTAATTATGACGGTGTTTTTTTCAGTTGGACTGGTTACGTGACATAATGTACCATCAATGTGGAAGTTATGAAAGCATTTCACCAGGAAACCAAAATATCAACATCAACAGACTCCAGCCTGTCAAGTGTTGAGTTGACTTAAGAACACAAAGCACTTAGGCGTATAGATCGGTAGTCGATAATCAATAATCGATGAGGGTGCTTGTAGATTCAATGCAGTGAAACGATCCTTTTCTACAGGCATACTCAGCTGTAATATATTCGTGTACACAGACACATTACACCACAATGAGACAATGTTTTAGGATACACCAATAATGTATACTTACCTTATATTTGTTACACGTGGTGTATGAACTCCTATATCAAGCGCTCGGCGATGAAAGTCGCCCAACTCCGTTCTGTCGAAGCTAGTGTTCAATATCAACACATATATCCCCACCACAACACGTACCCTCCACCAGACAGACGTACCCGTGTCACGTGGTAGAGGAGGGACTCTTCCCTCGCCGGGAGGGGGTTAGCCCAGCTATGTTGACATCACCAGGGTGATTACCACACCGTCACCGACTGTCACCAGGGGTATCAACTCTCTATCGCACCCAGGGAGAGTGGGCCGTAGCAGTCTTCTACAAGGGTATAGTTATTGTCCAACTAGCCGAACGCTACTCACTGACGACACAACTGAGAACAGAGGGGATTGTCAGTGCAATAGTTCACTTCGTTTGTCGGCGCCGGCAGTTCACTTCGGACATTATTTGAGAACATCGATGTGATAGGTATTTGGTCGTGCGCTGCTGCTCATGCATTACTGATCAGGCTGTACCCGTCAAGCTTTACTGGTCATGCATTACTGATCATTGTGTGCTGGTCAAGCTTTACTGCTAACGCTAACAGAACGCGTGCATGTTGAGTCAGGCCCTTCACTCTCCAGTCCACCTGTCCAAAACAAAGTGTTCACATATCCCGTGTGTCAATATATGTATTGTGGGTTACAGGCTAGATGACAACTCAGTAACAGCTTATCTATGACTGCACACATCATCCTGGTCTACCCACGACCCTAATGTTAATTAATAATAAGGCTCACAATGATGATGATGATGATGATGATGATGATGATGATGATGATGATATGCGTCCGTTAGACTTTTATTCTCTGCTCCTTGGAAAGAAAACAAACCAACTTGCCTGTGAGGTGCAATCAGCCTCAGACACAATACCATCGTATGCTACCGGGTACCCACCTATTCACTGCTGGGTGAACAGAGGCATGTCTATATTAAGAATAGCCACTTGTCTGAGGAGACAAAACATGTGTTGCACCTGCTTCAGTGTGGTGCAAGGCCGAAGCATCAGAAATCCTCAGAAGTCAAGCTGCCGGTCAAGTCAGCCATTCAGCTACTCCCTGTCACCAGCGTTGTTTAACTTTGTGACCTGTCAGCTGTACCAGGTCTACAGTTAAAGGTGGTTGCTACACAAGCAGCCCGTGCACATGAGAGCATGCCTTTAAATATTGAACAGTATAGGCGGGCTATTAAGTATGATCATTTCCGATGTATGGGTGAATGGGTGTTTGTGTTAAGTAGGTTTTCCTGACTTGGAAGAGTATTTCAGTACGATCAGGTCCAGGTAGTGTTGGAGGGAAAACTTTAAGCAATAGGTAGTGTTGGAGGGAAAACTTTAAGCTATACATATATGTTTGGTGTTTACCACTTTGGCGCAACCGACGAGCATGGGTCGGTGCAGATAAACCAAGAATAACATTCAGGATGAATCATGGATTTGAACCCACGCCTTTTATAGTGAGTGAGTTTAGTTTTACGCCGCACTCAGCAATATTCCAGCTATATGACGGCGGTATGTAAATAATCAATCCAGTGATCAACAGCATGAGCATCGATCTGCGCAACCGATGACATGTGTCAACCAAGTCAGCGAGCCTGACCACCCGATACCGTTAGTCGCCTCTTACGATTGGGTTGCCGAAGATTAATATTCTATCCGTGTGACCTTCACGGGTATACGCCTTTATATGTGAAGGAGCAATACCTACACAGTTTATCATGGTTAGACTGACAACTGACTACTCGTACATGCGTGTGTGCGTGCGCGCTAGTGACTAATTACACGCCTAGTCCTTAGACGACTGACTACTCTTACATGCGTGCGTGCGCACTAGTCCGGACTAATTACTTTTCATATGTAAAGGAGCAATACCAATACACAGTTTATCATGGTAACACAACTCAAACATAGTATTATACTGACTCGAAGGCGAACAAGCTTATCCCTTCATGCCGAGCTTTAGACTGTATTACATATATTTCAAAGAATGTGATGCTTTTAATACAATACAAAAATACCCGCTAGGGCATCAATAGGTTCTCACGTATTTCCATACTGGTTCAAACAAAACAAGTGGCTAACTGCTGTATCCATCCCACTCAACCAATGCTGGTAGTTGCGATGGTTGTCAATAAGAAGGTTGAAACTCCCAACGCCCTCTGTTGTCAGGTTTTAACACTAGTTACATATTCAGAAATAATTTCTACGTATGCTAACATACACAACATGATGAGTGTATGCGTGTGTATGCGTGATTCCGTCAGTACGAGGTAGGTGTTAAATATACCCCAATAACTGTATAGTAAAGAGATGAAGCCAAGGCCTGCCAGGCAGGATTTACTGCTTAACGCCGGGATCCCAGAACGAATCGATACATGTAATGTTGAGCGAAGCGCCCCTAGAAGGACCTTAAGCAGGGATGTGCCATTGCACGGTATTGCTGTGGTATCCACGGTATTTTATGGAGACTTCTGTAGCTTTACTATTTAACAACGTTGGCTGGTTGGTGTGTAACGCCATTCTGACGGCGGTCTTATAGCTATAATAGAGTCTGGACCAGAAAATCCAGTGATCAACATCGTAAGCATCGTCCTACGCAATTGGGATACGATGACAATCAAATCGGCGAGCCTGACCACCCGATCCAGTTAGTCTCCTCTTGAGACAAGCATGGGTTAGTGAAGGCCAGTTCTAACCCGTATCTTCACGGGTATGTTTAACAACGATTGTGTTGCGTCACTTACCGCCAGCTAAAACATTTTTTTCTTGTCCCAAGGAGCAGAATACTATTGTAAGCAATATTATGGTGGTGGTCTGTAAATAACTGAGTCTGGACAATACAATCTGGTGATCAACAGCATGAGCATCAATCTACGCAATTGGTATACGATGACATGTTTCAACCAAGTCTTCGAGCCTGACCACTGGATCCCATTAGTCGCCTCTTGGGTTGGTGAAGACCTTCACCCACTTTCAGTAGCACCACACATATTAGATGAAAGTCATAGATGCACATGAACATGTGAGCATGTCTTATACTGATTTGAGAGAGCGACGGTAATGAATGAAATCTGCCTGACACACAAGAGACTGTAATAACTTTTTTTTGGTCATCCTTTATTTCTTTTTAATTTTTTTTTGAGCTCCCCTAATTGTGACGTCAAAAACAGTTCTGTTGACTTCGTCCTTGTGTGACGTCATTCCCATCTTACTTCACAATATGATTTTATTTACGTCCACAATTCCTTCCGGATGAAGTGAACAATACACTACAGCGTATGAGCGTTATTACATACCCATTTAATCTTAGCAATACAGCCGTGCAATACAGCGAACTCAGGTAAATTCCGTATTGCATTCCGATTTCGGTACTGCACGGCTGCCGGACTCATCATGGTGTCTTCTCCAAAGAGTGTCCTAGATGATATCTTTGAAACATTATTGCTAAGAAATGGAGGTTCTTTTGAGTCAAACGTTATTCTGTTTTCTTCTTTTCGTGATCAAACTTTGGTACTTGATTGATGCCGTGAGGCGGTGGAATGCGATCTCACGCATACATGTAATAAGTCCCTTGCGCGGAGTGATAATCAGGTCACGGTAACCTCTGCGGAAGTTTCAGCTGTGACGCTTAGAGTTGGATTAAAACAGTCAGTGTCATGAAAATGGTATGTAATAAATACATACAGAGAAATACAGCAGAAAATGTCATCGTTTCTCTCTTAGTATGACGTCTTCTCGCTCGAACCTTTTCGAATGGTCTCACGGTTGTAAGTTGTCAGTAAGGAACCGATAATATGTGCAATGACAACAAATATCCGATCTAACCATCCCCAAATTAGCCAACTATTACGACTGTCAGCAGCTGTGACAGCCAAGTGTGGTATTACACTTGGTCCGATCTAGTGAAGTTATATTTAGCGGTCGCGCAATTTGGAACCAGAATTCGAAGTGGTTCTTTCTTGAATATACGCTTGTCCCCACTCTCCTACCCAGAGTTCCGTGCGGCAAGCCAGCATAGTACCTCTGCCACAGGCCAGAAAAATGTGACGATTCGTCACATCTTGCAATGTCCATTCAATATAATGTACATATTTCTTTTACTCTTTTATTTTTGACGAGTCTACACATCTAACTAAACATCTTTAATAGAATGGTTTAGTTTCACTGAGAAAATATCCAAAAACATGTAACACTATTTCGATTTGCGTAGCGATCCTTTGTTTACATAGGTTGTACGGCTCCACGTGCTGTCATCGAAGCTGATGGAGAGCAAACGATGCAGCCAGTTTGATATCTAAATATGTACTGTCATAGACCTTACTGTCGCAGTTGTGGAAGACATATATGTAACAATGTAAAACGTTATGAAGAGAGCGCCGAAAAGCTTTCGTGAGTCCAGTCTCTTCTTATTATGAATATGCGCGTTTGTTTACAAACAAGAGAAAAGTCCGGTCACGTGATATGCCTGTGGCAGTGATGTTATGTTAGTCATCGCTGCGCCGGAGTGTGGCTTGTCCCCGGAAATCTGGTACCGGAAGTAGCGCCTCGACTAGACCTGGGTGCTGGTGTACAAAACAACCTTAGCGCTAAGACTACCTTAAGTCTATGTTAAGGTATGGGAGGTACGGCCACCTTAGCGCTAAGATCGCTTTGTACAAAGGCACCCAGACCTATTCAGACCTATTAAAATCAAACATTGCGTTGATATAACGTCTTCAAACCAAAACAACAAAAAAAAACCGCACAGGCCAAAGAATAAGGAAATGAATTAAACGTATTTAATTGACTCTACATAAGTTGATTAAGCTTGAACATAGATGCACATGTGTGGACACGCGGTTTTTGCTTGGGGGAACTCTTCGCCATTCGTCCTGCAACACGTTGGCAAGTTCTGAGTGTCTGAGGACGATGGTGACGTCTACGGACGCGCCCATCCAAAGTTCGTTCCATAGATGCTCGATCGGCTTCAGAACAGGCGATCTGGAAGGCTAGGGAAGGACATTGACGTTTGCATTGGCCAGAATGGCACCTGTTACACCAGCTGTGTGGGGTCGAGCGTTGTGTTGAAACAGCTCCCTCTGGCGGTTAAAAAGTGGGAGGAGGTGGGATCGCAGGATTTGGCCGATGTAGCGATTTGCTGTAAGATTGCCTTGAACCACCACTAGCTCTGATCTACCCGTGTAGGACATGGCTCCACACACCATGACGCTTTCTCCACCAAATCTGTCCACCTGTCGAACGCAGTTTGGCACAAAACGTCCGTGTAGACACGTTGTCTCCCACCCCGACGTTGCAGGAGGCAACGCTGAACCAAACGCGTCATCAGTTCCCCAGGTTCCATGCCTGTAAACTGTTGCACCATTGGACAAGTCGTTGTCGGTATAGTGGTGTCAGTACTGTTC